TTGAGGTGGGCGCACAAAGGCAGCAACAACATGTCTTTTTGGCCCAAGAGGATGAGATGGACAGAATCCCTAACCTCATAATTCCTTATGGGTGGGCAGACTTTCGTAGAAGGCAGCATCCTCCCCACCCTAACCCGGTCCCCCAGCACAACGTGCAGCCTGGGTAAAGTAGCTCAATCATTCAAAACTAGTAGTTGGGAACTCATTTTTATTGACTTCACAACTTGTTTGCAGAAATGAGTGCTATTAAGCTTTGAATGCTTTGGAAGCGAGAGTGTTCTGGTGATGCAAATATTTACTGAATTAAGCAATTTTTATGATTTTTATAACAAAATATTAACTGAATTATTAAGCAATTTTTATCTTAAGAATGATTTTTTCACTGCAATACAATAAAGGAACTGAACTTAGAAATAATATTTTTTAAATTGGGTTTCCTCTAAGATGTTTGACTTATTGTCAATTTACAGCATGTAATAGTATTTTGTTCATGTTTTGATGGAGAGCCAGACCACATTGCCAAGAGTGCAAACATTAAATGATTTACTGCTAATGTTTTGTGCTAACCTACCAAAGCAAGGCACTGGAATATTAAGCTTGATATTTAGCAGTGTAAAATCATTTAGTGTTATATGTGTTGATCAGCTCTAGTTTGTGTGGTCTGCAGAGATTAATGTCTTTGCCTATAAAAAAGACATCTATTTCTGGATTTGTCCTGCTTTGCATCGCTATTCTAGCCATTTCATAGTCTATGGTTTTTACAATTCAATACAATGCAAACTTGAAAATATGTAAGATATATATGTATTATACAAGATATAATTATAATAATAATCTATCTATTCAATGTAATTAATAACTCTTGAACTGATTAATGTTCTTTATTAATGTCCTTAGGCATTGTAACTAGTTTAAAAGAAAAAGAAACAAAGTTGTTCTTACCCAATGTCTTTGTCAGTCTTTGTTTAATATTTATCTCTCCGTTTTGTTGGTTTTTTTTTACCACCTCGGGATCAGGGAAAAGTGGTCGCTTACGAGAACGTTGGCACAGGAAACCCAAACAATTATAATCGCAGCAGAGGAGGCCCAAATAGTTCAAAACACGTTCGTATTTCAGTGCATAACATCTTTGAACAATTATACTGCTCTAGTGTGACGCACTTAATCCGTGCAACAACTGTACAAAATCTAAGTAGTACTAATTTGTACTAAAAGTGGACCTGAAGCAAGATGGTATTGAATGCTTCATTTGTATCAATTCAATTTAATTTGCGTATCGCATGCACGATTTACTAAATACAACTAAAATAGAACTGTTTAGTTTGTACAGTTGCACGGATTAAGTGCGATCACTCTACTAAAAGTTATTTGATCATAATCATGGTTACAATATTTAAAGAGCACTTTACAGTGTGGCAAAAATGCTTAATGCACAATACAAAGTTACGCGAGCGGAAGATGATCGTATACGAGAGTGGTCGTTCAAAGAGAGTCAACTGTAGAGTGCACGCCAAAAAAGCGTGAAACAATTCTTAACTATCAACATCTAATAAGATTTAGTTATCAACTAACTAAATATTCACTGGCGCATGAACACAATGCCAAAAAGAAAATTTTCTTTGTTTATACGTACCTCACTGAATTCTTAGGCAGTTGATAACAAAATCTTATTAGGCGTTAATTAGTTAAGAATTGTTTCATGCTTATGTGGCGTGCACTCTAAAGTGTGCTTGTACTTACAACACGTATCATCTACATAAAACATTGAAAAATAAATATGGTCCAAGAGGGGAGGGGGGTGGGGGGGGCGTTTAATAGACAGGCGTTTATTAGGTAGAGGCGTTTATTCTAAAATATAACTGTAACAATGTAGTGTACCGCATGTTATGGTTCTAACTTCTACCTAAAAGAAAAAGCGAAGTAGGCCTTGTGGTTCCTGGGCGCTACACTGCTAGTACAAAACGCAATAAATTTCAGATATAAGAAGCAATGAAATCAGAAGAATTAAAGAACTCATCCTCATTTTGAAATTGAACAATACGTTACCCACTTACCAGGGTTAATGAAGCAAGAGGACAAATTAAGTGATCTTTCGTCGGAATAAAAAAGATGAAACTAGGTAGTAAGAGTAACAAATTAAGATAGACTAATAGGAGAAAGGTAGGCAAGGTAACGCAGTATACAGAAGGATAATAAACGTGCTAAAAAGGGAACAAAGGACAAACAAATTATCTGAAAACAAAGCGTTCATTCAACCCATGGGGATTGTAAGTGCCCAATAGATGAATAAGTCGCATCTCCACCAAGGTTTTTCTTTTTCATAGTTTTGAATACATTACACCAATACTCGGTGGTGTAACTGTGTAAGACGCGGCGCATATAGACTGGACGGTTCGGGATCGTTCGCGAGGCAGTCATATATCAAAGATCTTTTTTCACTAAATTAATCCTATCAAATTAAATTGATTGTTTCTAATACTTTGATTATCATTAGCTAGTAGTAGTTAGAAAAATGTAGAACCCGCTAAATATCGGGGAAACCCGCCCACAATGCCGAAAGTAGCGCTTGGATGTGGGAAACCAAGTTGATTACTGCTCATGCTCAGATGGAGATATCTTCATCAATTATTCATTTTTGATATTTTTTTATTTATTTCATGTTTATTGTAGTTTCTTAGGTTTGGGTTTTAGAAGTCATTTAAAAAACTCGTAGTTCGTGTTTTATCGTGGTTATAAACACTCGGCCTTCGGCCTCGTGTTTTATCTCACGTTCTAAAATATTTAGGATACTACGCGCGCTGTGATTGGTCGAAAACCATGTTTGATTACAGTATCAAAACACGCTCGCACGCGTCAAAAATCTCCTTTTTCCTGCCGTTTGCATTTGTTGTTGTTATCATTCATTTTCAAGAACAATGAACGAAGAAATGCCTATTTATGATGTCCTCTGGGATGATATCCCAGAAGAAGAGCTATCAAACGTTTTAGAATCTACAGAAGCTGCAGACAACTGCAATGTAAGGAGAATTCATCGTTTCATATCGTATCAAAAGTCAGAATTCTTTACAATTTTCGTATTCTTTTAATTTTAGAAAAGAAATAAAAGATCTAGACGAAATTCCGTGTTTGATACTCTGATCAAAACACTTGGGATGTAGGGAGAGCACTCGAAAAGCTGGAAACCACTGTGCTACGCGTCGTGGTTTCCTACGCTTCTCTCCTGCTCTTCCTACATCCCGCATGTTTTGATCAGAGTATCAAACACGGAATTTCATCTTTTATTCCTTAAATAATTGCAGCATCTCAGCTATTTCATTATGACGTCACAGTATGCTTACATCGGAAATCATGCTCAAAACAGTGGAAATTTGGACCCATTTAAAGTCTCTTAAAGTAGAACTTCCAATCAGTGAATAGTCTCCTTCACGGTTCCCTGCACCATCTTGAAAGGTAGCCATGCCTTGCAGCGATGCGAGATGACCATTGAGCATGCAATGATAGAAACCCTCTATCACACCTACAGACAATTATTCACAGGTATCTATCATTGCAAGCTCAACGGTCATCTCGCTTCGATGTAAAGGCATAGCTACCTTTCAAGGCGCTGGGATCCATGAAGGAGACTATTGTGTTTTTGATATATATGTTGTAGTTCAGGTTCAATATATTTTTGAACCAGTTTAATATTATTTGTTCCAGTACAAGACTTCTTGTACTGGTCTTTTTTTTTGCTTTGGCATTCTTAAAAGAACTAAAAGAACTATATCCCATCTCATTCTCTCCCATTTTCTATCTATCATCTTATTTTCTACCTTCTACTATTTCCTACTTTATCTTACCATATACCCCACAGAAATATTGATATTTTCTATATTTTTAATTATTTTATGAATAACACTTACCTTCATCAGGGTTTGAACCACTGAACTCTTGCTTCATAGTCCACAGTACAACCAATTATACCATCAAGGATTTTGTTGGTAGTAATGTTTGCAAATTGTTTTTATCTTAAAATTGTAATTTATTAATGAAGAAAATTTTTATATAATGCTGGCTCAACCCTAAACCTAACCCTAACCCTAACCCTAAACCTAAACCTAAACCTAACCCAAGACCTAACCCTAACCCTAAACCTAACCCAAGACCTAACCCTAAACCTAACCCTAAACTGATATGTACTGGATTGAGTTAAATTGGACTGGCTCAAAATAAACTGAACCAGTTCTGAAGAAATTGAACTGGTTCAAAATCATATTGGACCTGAACTACAACATATATATCATGCATAAATGATTCCTCATGTACATTTTTTTATTTAATATGCAGTCACTCTGATCCCCTCTGGTAAAAACATCCTTGGTATTCAAACAATAGAATGTTTTGATATGACATCATTATGAACTATTAAAAGTTAATTTATGATTTATTAACAAAAACATTTATACAAACTGTACAAATGTAGTACATTTGCCCTATATTCGCTATACGGGGACGTGCCGCCAACCAGGGTATCGTTTTCAGCAATTTTACTCTGGAACTGGGTATTGTTTTTAGCGATTTTACTTTGGGACAGGGTATTGATTTTAACAAATTTTCTCTAGAACAGGGTCGGGGTTTAAATCTGGAATTATCGATGTTAGGTAAAATTCATGGGATAAAAATTCGGTCTACACACAGGCTAGCTATAGTGCTGGATTTACTCTGGAACAGGGTATCATTTTCAGTGATTTTACTCTGGAACTGGGTATCTTTTTCAGCGATTTCACTCTGGAACAGGGTCAGGGTTTCGAGATCCCAGCGGCACCCCCCCCCCCCCCCCCTTGGTACAGGAAAGAGATGTATATATTTATAATCTTAAAAATATCTAGTGATGCCATTCTATAAGCATTACCTGATCCACCCTTAAATTTTCCACCTG